ATTGAAGAACAAGCAGGGTACAGAGGATTTTTAGGAGAGTGAAATATTATGTATGATACTATAATGGTAGATGCATGTCATTATAAATTTGTCCAAATTCGTAGACTCTACAACACCAAGAGTGAACCCTAATGTAAACTATGGACTCTAGGTGATAATGATGCATCAATGTAGGTTCATAAATTGTAACAAATGTGCTAGTCTGGTGGGGGATATTGATAATGAGGGAGACTGTGCATGTGTGGGGGCAAGGGGTTATGGGATATCTCTGTACGTTCCTCTCTATTTTGCTGTGAATATGCAACTGCTCTAAAATAGAAAAATTTTAAGGGAGTTCCTTTTGTATTTCCTGATATGAGGTTGGGTGAAAACGTGCTATTTGGTCATGAAGCAGCCATCTTGCAATGTGAGTGACAAGTCTGAGGATGAAGAGTCACCATGCCAAGGAAAACAGAGCAGAAAGAGGTAACAAATCTGGATACACCTGACATTGTGGAGCTGATAGCACAAGCCTGAGTCAATGTACCTCCAGGCTTCTTGCTATGTGAGATAGGGTCCAAATTCTTAACCCACTGTTAATCAGTGTTGGGACTGTGAAAATTGTCAGAATCAAAATGAGGTTACTTGTGTTTAAAACCCTGACAAACAGAGTCAGGGAAAGCCAGGAAGGAAGGGTTCTCATGCACAAATGCCTGATTACAAGAGCTATCATAAAAGACTGCAAAAACTACAACCTTGCACAAAACCCATCACCACCTTATGCAGAAAAGTATGTCTGCGAAGACATCTACCCAGCAACTGCCTGTCCAATCTTGGACTGGCATCACCCTTGTTATTGATCCTTGTACTCAAGGATAATTAGCTCAAAACAATTATGTAATCCTCCTCATTTTTCCTTTAAAAAACCCCTTTATTTTCTTTTTCTTTTTCCTTTTTTTTTTTTTTTTTTTGCTTTACCTCCCTGAATGCACACATAGTTTAAACTGGCATGTATGTTACCACTGCAACACCCATTCCTAAGTAAATATCATTTTCTTTCAATAAGCCTCTCTCTGTATGTTATTTAGGGTGACATAAATGGTGTCAGAAGTGGGATCAAAGTGAGTGCACCTTAAAGGAATGAGAGGTCCCTGGAACTGAGTGCAGTACTGACTGAGCCCTTTCTGCTCTCTGCTTCTGTCCACTGCTGCTTCTGTCTGGGTGACTCTCCTCTCAGATTCTCAGACTCCCTCCCTTTGGTGAGTTCTTTTTGGCTTTACATGTGATTTGATTTGGCTGAAAGGTGCCTTAAGTAAAGAATTTTTCATCCCTCTTGGGTCTATACGAGGGGTTTTTATTTGTTGGCAAGCACTTTCTGGTAGAAAAATATCCTTCTGCATTGAGTACTCTGGTTTCTACAGAATTTACATTCTGTCTTAGTGGCATGTCTTTTCTGGTGAATTCACTTTTGGTTCTTTCTGTACATCTAGCTTAATATTTTATTCGGTCTGCACACCTGGCTTAAAAAATTTGTGTGGCCTGGCATGGTGGGTCACGCCTATAATCCCAGCACTTTGGGAGGCCAAGGAGGGCGGATTGCCTGAGGTTTGGTTATTACATACATCTGCAAATAATTTGGCCCCTTTACTTTTACCTTTTCTTTGTTTCTGAACATCATCTGAGAACAAAATTAAACTAAGTTTAATTTTAATAAACTAAAATTCTAAGTGGTGGTGCAAGAAGGCCATTTAAAAGTGTTGTTTTAAGCTTCTATGTTCGTAGTCATATATTACACAGCAATAGAAAAACTAATGCAGCAGCAAAGTCCTAATTCAGGGTAAAGTGACTATAAGCCCTTTCAGAAACAAAGCTAAAGCTATATTCTCTGATCAGCTTATAAGCAATAAAGCTAGTAATTTGATCCCACCTGACTCCTCCATTTCACAGTTAGTTCTGAACTCCAGAGGAGAAGAAAGAATTTTTATTTATTCATGTCATAAAAACTCCAATAGTCAGGCATTTTATTACTCCACAACCAAAAGCATTTCTAAGTAATCCAATACCTCTCAGCAATTCTTTAAAATGAGGATCAGACCTGGGATGTGTTGCAAGGACCCAAACCAGGGTCACCTCAGGGTTCAGGCATCTAGAAGACCAACTTTATATTTATTTTATTGATTGATTGATTGATTGATACAGGGTCTCACTCTGTCATCCAGGATGGAGTGCAGTGGCAAAATCTCAACTCACTGCAACCTCCACCTCCTGGGTTCAAGCAATTCTCATGCCTCCACCTCCCGAGTAGCTGGATTACAGGCACGCACCACCATGCCCTGCTAATTTTTGTATTTTTAGTACAGACAGGGTTTCACCATCTTGGCCTGGATGGTCTTGAACTCCTGACCTCAGGTGATCCACCCACCTCAGCCTCCCAAAGTGCTAGGATTACAGGTGTGAGCCACCATGCCTGGCAGAAGGCCAACTTTAGATTTTATTTTTACTCCACAGTAAATCCTCTCTTCCCAAGAGCTGAGGGAAAGCATAACAGATCAAGAGAAGGGCTTAACACTCATTGAGCAGATGAAATACATAAACCTTCCCCCATGAGAACTAAAAATTCACAACCCCAAGCTTTGTTAGTTTATACAATTTTCACTTCTCAAATAACCACCTAAACATAATTGGACTTTTAAATGTAGTTTAAATCAGTGGCAGAAAACTTTGAGATTTTCTACCACAACTTTATATGCAGCAAGCAAACTGCTGCAGGATCAGTTGTTTGTATATTTAGGAAGTGTGCTTACATTCCCCCTGGAATTCGGTCACCCTTTCCAATAGCATCCCTCCAACACTTAACAAATGCATTCATTGTGCGCTGCCAATTCAATAATATGCAACTGTCTCGCCTTCCTAAAAGAATCCTGATCTTTGATGGTGCTGCAAGGAGCTGAGCGGACAATCAGCAAAAAAGATGAACTGTGAGGTTTCTAAGGCTCTGTATCGGAATCTGTTGACGATGCATTTGAGAGGCAGTTTCAAGGAGAAGGAGAACCGTACACTCTATTTGTAGTCTGAAATTCATTAGGGGAGACTAAGTCCCTAAATTTAGTAGCAGATGTCCAAATGATTGCAACCTCTTCCGTCATTTCGAATATAGTAACTAGAATTTTTTCCTGCTAAGGAGGATTTCAAAAACCTTTAGTCCAATCCTTTCCTCTACAAATAAGGAAACGGAGCTCTAAAGAAGCTACATAAAAATAAAAATGCCAGATCAGTCATTTCCCCAACTGAATCCTGTTCTGAGTGTTCAATCCACCAGATTCTTTTTTCTCTATCACAAGGCCATGAGGCAGCAGCTAAGAGGGTGCTTCCAAGCAGTTCAAAACAGTTCTTGGAGACAGGGCTGCCGTGTCTGGTTTAGGAAGACCTAAACATCTGAAAAGCAGGGAAGCTGAGCACTGATGGTTTCCATGGAGACTACTGGGGAGCCCAGGTGCACGGTCTAATGAGACCACCGGCCAGCCAGCATTAAGGAGCAAAGGCTGTGGGACATTCCAGTAAAACTCACACACCACAGAGCTCCTCAGATGAAATCCGAATGAGTGTCTAGCTTGCCCATGAGGGCTTCTCTTGCAGAGACACGCTGAAGCTCTGGGCTCTATACGTCTGCTCTATGACAAGTTCTTTTCCACACATTATTTCATTTAATCATCACCAAAACCTGACAAAGTAGATTCAAATTGTATCCCCTTTTGTGGATGAGTAAACTGAGGCAGCTGACCAGGATGAGTGAGATTATAAATGGCTCACCCAGCCATGGTGACTCATTCCTCCCATTCTACTCTTTTTAAAAAGCCTCTGAAACTGCTCATCTGAAAGCTCTCTTGCATTCTTCTAAAGAGAAGTATAAGCCATTATTGCAGAGACAGCCTTGAACTCAAAGTTTGAGAGTTCTTACAGGGTGAAAAAGCACAGCTTTAGAGCTTCCAGCTGATCTTGTCTTTGGCCACCATTCCTAGATCCTAGAAAAGACCTCAAAATGTCATTTTTAAATATTAAGTCATCATTAGAAAGCATTCCCTGAGGAAGGTTTGAAAGACTTGAGAATCAGGTCAGTACTGAGTAAGAGAGCAGAAATGACCTTACGCCTGAGCAAAACAAGTGTTCTGTGAAACCATACGAATGAGTGTGAGTTAAAGGGCACTGGGAACCCCAGTTTAATCACTCAGCCACTCATGCCTGCAACCGATGCCAGGAATAATTTATTAATTTTAATTTTAGTAAATAAATTCCTTGAGTTGAGATAGTTGTTTCTTGTTTAAAGATAAATATTTCTGAAAGGAAAAAACCCACTAAGGCAATAGCAATCATCGACAGTTCAGTAGGAAGTCGTACATCAGGATGCCATATCTGAGGAACCACTCAGCAGTGAGAGGTGGGAAAGAGACAGACCATTAGGAGACAGGTGCAAAGCACAGAGCAGTGTCTGGAGAAGTCAGGCTTCTGGAAGAAGCAGGATTAGCCTAAAGACACTGTGCTTGAAAATAAAATGGAGTGAGGGAGTTCCAACAACAAAATGGATGGATTTACAGTTTTCTACTTCATTACAAACACAAGAAAAATTCATGGTCACTCAGAACTTTCATTTTCATTTCTGACAAAAGGTGATACAAAAGGTGATTTTGTATGCAAAATCTCATATCTTGCATATAAACATCTTCCATCTTTAAGGAGAAACTGAGCTTGTTCCACCTCTTCAAAAAAATCTGTGTTGGCAAATCCATACTTAACCCTCTTGTGTTGTGATTGCAGAAATACCACTCTAAAATAGGAAGCTACTCAAAGAAGGAAGTTTAGGTGCAAGATCTTTGACTTCCATTGGCCAAAACAGAAAATACAATCATAACATTAAAATTATTCCATTAAAAGCAGATAATGCCCCTTTACTGCCTCCTGGATCCTGTCAGGCTAAAGCCAACTGGATCGCAGTGGTTATAATTTAAATATGATGCAGTACTCACTCGAAAGACCTTCTCCACTCTTGCAATGCTTTTCCCAAAGATGGTTCCAAGTTGGTCTCCAATTCCAGCCAATAAGAAACCAAAGAGTGGAATTCCAAAGATGGCATATAAAATACAAAAGATTTTGCCTCCTTCAGTGCTCGGAGCAATATTCCCATACCCTGGTAAGAAATATTAAAAAGAGGGAGAGTGGCAGAGACATTAGCATACTGACCAAAGAACTCACAGACTTTTTTAAAAGTTTGTACATTCCCCCACCTTACAAGCTTTAGGGAGTAGAACTTCATTTCAAAGGCCCTATACAATTCACAACATTGTTCCGTTGCTTCTCTTCCTTCTCCCCTTATAAACAGTCTTAAGGTTTCTTGGATATTAACACATTTTAGGAAATTCATGGTCACTCAGAACTTTCATTTTCATTTCTGACAAAAGGTGATACCACCTTTTTCGGAAACACCAAGCATCATGGGCATGTCTAGTTTAGTGAGACCTGAATGTGTGGGGAGGAATCACCATTGCACTTCTTAGACTCGACAAGAGCTTCTTTTTCACAGTCTTACCCATAGGCTCTACCTGGACAGATTCTGGCTGTCTTCAAGGCTGATGGGTACTCCATATTAAAGAGGAAATGTGGTCTAGTACAAAGTTAGAAAGGACTCATGAACTGTCCAGCCCTACCCTGGGAAGTCTGAAAACAGGAAAGAACAGGGAAGGGAAGGCTTTGTGCTGTCTCTCCCCACTGCCAGTGAAGTTTAGCCCCATCTGGTTCTTTTTTTCTCTTTACTGGGAACTCCACATCATCTCTGAGTCCTGCCTCTCCTCCCAACCACCGCTTGCATTGAGGGTAATAAGGTGCTAAAAGTTTACTGATGGATGTTCGAATACAAGAGAATCTTTTTATAGTCCAGTCTACTAATATGTATTTCAAATAGTGTTTTGAATATACTCGCATCTGCATTCTTAAGAGTACTGCAATTACATAAGTAACTTACGTACAATGAGTACTGGGCTCACCCTATATGGATGAGGCTAAAGAAAGTATTGCTGGAAGAAAAAGGCCTATAGCATTAGCACACTTTATATGGAGATGAAAGTCTAAATTAATTAATATTCATTTTGTGACAATTGATATTACAATCTTATGTTTAAAAAGTATCTAGACAGTAATCTAACCATTCTTCCAAATCTGGGTAATTTACGTGGGGCCTGTTTCTGAATCCATTCAATGAGCGAGTCATTGGGTCCATGGTTATTGATAGGTTGGGAAAGCAACATGATAAAAAATAATGTTGATGGTTAGTCCATCATTCAGCCACCCACAGGCCTACAGAACTCATGGTTGCTTTCTGCCTTCAGGAATGAGTCACCTGGATACTTTCCTTGGCAATCTTCTGTTCTGAATCATTCAAACCTCTTATAATAATCTAAACGACAGCTTCCATTTCTAAAACGAGTGTTCAGGCTAGGCTTCCTCATCTTGAACTTCTTTTACTCACCAGGATTTTGATTTAAATATGCAGAAAAGCTCTCAGAACTTTTCTCAGGTATTTTCAGGAACTTGGGCAAAATCATTTTTCCAAGCATTCTCCTCTAGAATGGTCGAGCTGACATTAAGCTAGCCCTATTGAAAAGGAAACAAATGAGCCTCTACAGTTTCACTTCACGCAGGTTTATGGTGACTCTTGGAAACTTCCAAGTAACTTGTGAAAACACTGAAGATCCCAGCTTGACTGTCTCACAATAGCCTAACTTCGGGGAATGTAGGTTGTCCAAGTGTCTCAGAAAGAAATATATTGCAGACATAGGCAAACAAATGGAGGCTTGGAACTGGATGAATAGGCATCTCATTAATCCTGCCAAGTGCTACACCCCCTTCCTCCAGCTTTCAGAGATGGCAACCCCCACCTCCTGGGTAAGACACTGTGGCTTACCATGGAGCATCAGGGAGAAGTGAGGAGATGAAAGATCCGATCCAATTCCACCTCACACTACCTGATTCTCTTTAGGTCCACTTAACCTCTACAAATCCTAGTGTCAGAGGTACTCAAGGAAAATGCAGGGGGGAAAAATCAATGGACTGTAAAGTACTTTACCAATGCAAAGTATTATTATTATTATTGTTATTATTATCACAATTGGTTCCTTATTTGTTCAGTGTTTTGTTGACTAGAACACAAAAATAAAATTAAAGCTAAGTTCTTGGGTAAGAGCATGAGTGATTCAATACTCAAACAAGCCTTTAAATATATTCACAGTCATCTTTCTTTGGTGACACTGCCTAGTGGATAGAAAGTCATCATGCTTGAGTGATGCCGTATCTCAGGCATGGGTGCGTGTGCGAGTGTTTTTGTGCTCCATGCCTTTGGTGAACTATAAGGAGAGACTGTTTGACCCTCAACCCTGTCACTCTGGGAAAATTCCAGCACTTACACTTTGGAGCTTTGCTCTGAGGCAGCGGGAAGACCACATTTCTGGATCTGGGGATTGAGTTACATCCCGCCTGTCTGACTGCCCTGCCCATCCTTCCAGAATGCTTAGGTAAAACTTTGAAGTAAGGTGTGACAGTTGTCTGTAGGCTCTAGAACTAGAGACTACACAGATTTCTGTTCCGATTCTTCTATTTACTAACTTTCAGGTCGTAGGCACATTCTTAATCTCTCTCCCTCACTTTCTTCATCTAAAAGACAAGGCTATTAAAGTGCCTACCTATAGCTATTAAAGATTAAATGAGTTACATGCAAAGAAGAGTTACATGTGAAGATTAAATACCTGTGAAATATAGTGCAAACTAAGCACCCAGTGGTAGCAATTACCAGTTTGCCTTGTGCTTTACTGTGGGAAGGAATTGTTTCTGAGCAAGATGTCTCCAGGAAAACTCAGTCCCAGAGAAAACAGACGGTTGATTCCTATTTTCCCTCCAGAAACTTCACTATTCTCCCACGGCACCCACAGCACCAGGTAGTAACTTTGAGCAGAAGACAACGAGCTCCACAAGGGCAAACAGCCAAGGAGAGGCTGTAATGAATGCACAGTACCAAGATGAGCTCAGATCTGTTCACCTCTGGCTAGAAAAAAGTTCCACGTTTTTCATGAAGAGAAAGCTGGCATTTAAAGAGGAGTTGTGCCTGAGGAGCGCACACAAAGGCTTCCATTTGCTGTTGATGTGCTACAGTCAAATCTTTGCCCAACTGTGTGTTGTGCAGCCCTACTTGTTTAGTTGAGAGTGTGCTTCTTATTATGGTCACTAGTCTGTCTGCGCAGGCAGGGCTGCTTTGTGGATGTGCACCCTGTGCAGTCCCATGGGGCCCACACTTAGATGGATCCAGGGCTTGCATTAGTGCTCTAAGCTTACCATTTTGATGTTTTAGCAAGGGACCCAACTTCAATTTGTAGTGGGTGTCACAAATTATGTAGCCAGTCCTGGTGAATCTAACTGGACTCCATTGCTTACTAACTATGAAATATTGGGCAAGTTATTTAACTTCTCTAGGTCTCAGTCTTCTCATAGATAAAATGAGGTTAATAACAGTACCCACTTCGTGTGGTTATGCAGGATTAAATGAGATAATGTATGTGGAGCACAATGCATGCTAACTAGTAAGAACTCAGTGAATGTTAGCCATGGTGATTTCTCTTTCCAAAGCCACGGGTTAAACATCCCATCTAAATCAAGTGTGGGGGCTCACACTCATAATCTCAGCACTTTGGGAGGCCAAGGTGGAAGGATCACTTGAGGCCAGGAGTTTGAGACCAGCCTGAACAATATTGTGAGCCCTTGTCTCCACAAAAAAAAAAAAAAAAAAAAAAGGTTTTAATTAGCCTGGCATAGTGGTGCACAACTGTAGTCCCAGCTACTTGGTTGGCTGAGGTGCAAGGACCGTTTGAGCCAGGAGTTTGAGGTTACAGTAAACTATGATCACACCACTGCACTCCAGCCCAGGCAACAAAGCAATACCTCTTCTCTGAAAAATAAAAATAAAAAATAAACATCCAATCCAAGTGCTGGGTAAGTACCAACAGGTGCCTCGATAGCTTGATAGGGGCAACCCTTAAATGAGGCTGCCAGGCAAGTGATGCAGTGACTGGCTACCACCTGGGTCCTGACCAGAGGCTGTCTCTCTGATGTGGGTAGAGTCAGGTGGCTCAATCTGAAAATGCCTCACAGACTAAAATCTAATCGCATTTCACAGGTACTGGTAAGAACCTGATCCCTCGCTGCCCTTCTACAATCACAGCTTGTGAAAAGCATCTGCACATAGAAGTGAGCATCATTCATCCAGCTTAGAAAAGCTAGTTATGGGGGACCCACCAGCCGAGCCAATAATCAAAGGCAGGTGGGACTTTCTCACATTGAATTAGTTACTGAGAAAGGGACTAGGGTGCAGGTGCATCCCTGACATTGACTGAGCAGAGTCTGCTCTTCTTCTGGTGTGGCTACTGGTCTGGAGAAGTGCCTGAAGGTATTCTGTTTGCTATACACTTGTAAATCTTTCCATATATCTCAGTACAAGAAAAACCTTCTTCAAAAAGAAGTGCTTTGATATCCTCAGATAAAAGGCACTTCTGATACTAAGGAGTAGCGCTGCTTTTCAGAAAAGATTCTATTATTCCCAAAGTGTCTCTATACACATTCTACCTAATGAACACATTTTTTACGTCTGAAAAGTACATAACCTTAAGCTGCTCGAGAGCCTTTCTGGAAAGAAATTTGACAAGGCTTTAAAAAGGTCATTTCCTTTGACAGAGCAAACCCTTGGCAATCTTTCCAAGGAAACAACCAGAGATGAAGACCACACTTCACAACGTAACACTATGGTGTTACACTATTACAAAAGTAGAAACAGCTTAAACTCCCAGCAATATGTGATTATAGTGTGAATAGTGGATCCAATAGAAACCATCAAATAATACGCTTTTCAAAGAACTTTAGTAATATGCAAAAATGTCTGCAATATTATGTTGCAAATTTTATGATCGCAAGGAAATAGGCCAATATTTGTGTATTTCACAATTAATGAAAACACAGCTCCTCAGCTCTCATGGTTCCTCTTTCCTGACTCCTAACTAGTGGAAAATTGCTCAGGAAGAACTGGAAGAATTGCTGGGCTCTGAGTGTTCTTATAAACCTTGTGACCACATGCAACAAATGAATTTACCACTA